CCCCTCTCGGAGAGCCCAGCAAGCTACCGAGAGTATTCAATATGCCAGACACAGTAACAACAAAGTCTCCAATGGAGACGTTACTGGGCCTGCTCGAGCAAATCGACGATCAACGGGAGGGCCTTTACCTTTTACCTTTACCTATCATAAATAAAATATATTCATGTTTTTTCTAATTTCCATATATTTAATTCCTACACATTTTTATTTACTCTACCTTATAATTAGAGAGGAACCTAACTTTGTTCACTGTATTCTAAGGCCTCCATACACATTTTTTGAATTACTTATGTCCTTGGGTATGTAAAAAAATTTCCTATGATTTTCTCTTATCCATAATCAGAGTATAGGCCCTCTGTTAGTCCAGGCTTGAAGAATATGCAAAGCAGGGAAATAGAGGAATATCCATACTCTATAGAGGATAAAGAGATATAGATATAAATTTTAACATAGTCATAGTCATTGACATCTCTGTTTTATAATAACTCTCTTTCAAACTTCTTGACAGACCCTATATCTCTCTTATCCCTCCTTTGTTCTTCAACTTGGAATTAAATTCAGTGTGTAAAGCCAATCTGATTTATACTTTCGACCATGTCCAGTTAGGGTTTGGTCTTAGAGAATGAAATGAACACATAAGGAAAAAAATAAGCATACATAGGCTGTCAAATCTTTAGGTGCCTTGGCAGCCTGTTTTGAGCTCACAGGCCAGGCCAGCCATCTATTCAATACAATATCGCTTCCTCACTCCCACTGAGCTCACAAGACGTGAACCTCTGTTCATGGAGACAACAACCTTTGAAGGCAGTTAGAAACCCATAAACATCCAGCTGGTACAAGATCAGAAGCTGGGGGATTTTACATAGCTCTCAGAAAATACCCTTAAAATATAGAGCTAAATCCTCACAGATTCCTATTCTACATCTTCCTATTCTGGCCCTACATCTAAAAGACCCTAAACAGTTTTAATCTATGCTTTTCTGGTACACATTTGCAGCCTGCCAGATATTTTTCATCTATTTATTCTCTCCTGCTATTTTATTCTTTCTTGGACACACGTTTGCAAACACGTTGCATTCTGAGGCCAAAACTATTTTAACTAAAGACATATTTTAACCTTGTTTTTTTTTTTTAATTTTAAGTGATAAATTCTCACAACTTGGTACTAAATAATGGTGGGGATCAAAATTTGAGACTTTTTGGTAATGTGTTGGTTACATTAAAATTAAATCTATTACTTTTTGTCTTCTAAGGAAAAAACTATCTTTTGATAAATTATCTTTTATATATCACAATACTATTCATGTTTAAAATAAGACAAAAATGGGGCCATCAAAATAGTGCAGGGGTTAAAGGTTAAGGACTGTGCTTAGAATACTCCTAACGTACAACACAGAGGACTAGAAAAACTAGCTTCTGGTTTTTGTTTTCACGGGAATAGCAAATAAGAATATCATACCAACCATGGGTAATCTTCAATGCTCCATCTCTTTACAGCTCACAAGAGGTCAACAGCAACCTCTGCTTAGCAGAGAGACAGAAGCAGCATTTTCCATAGCCCCTTTCCGCATCAACCCTTCAGTAGGTACTTCTCCTGCTGTAGCTTATTTCCAGCAGAAGCAGCTTCTTTCTCTTGTAAAACTGCAGCTGCCAGCTATGTTTATTTAATTTATGAATTCCCAGTCCTGTTTGATTGTTATACCTGATATTGTTGTGGGTGTAAAAACTGAATGATTTGATCTGATTTGTTACACAAGACAACCAGTCAGATCACCCAGATAAAGATCAGATTGTCTTTTACAAGCACCACTCAAATGCACATGTGTATAAATATATATATGAGTGTGTATGTATATATACATATGCATGTATACATATGCATATACATATATATGCATATGTATATATATATACATACATACAGAGAGAGGCATCTTCCTTCTCTATTACAGAGGTAGAGATACAGTAGTACGTTTTTGGTCCCTGACATCACGTGGCCTCTTGAGCAGTGATACCAGAGAATGTCAAAGAGTGAGAGCATGGCCTGGTTAATCCCTGACCCCACCCAGCCTGGGCAACATGGCTCTAGCATCTAACCACTGTCCCAGTTGGCTCAGTCTACCAGCAGGGATCTCTGGCCTTGCTTCCAAAGTACAACTCAGAGACCCCCCTCCCTTAAATAGCCAAAGCGATAAAAAAGCATATTATAGAAAAATATGAGTGACCTTAATAAACCAATGATCATAAATTTAATTCTTCTTATTTTTATTTTTGAAAATGGAGAGTTCCCTGATCTGATACAAGAAAGCTTTGACACTTTGACATCTGCTATGACCAAATATCTTAAGAACTGCAACTGTCACTTTCAATTTGATGTTATATGGAGCAATAACTCAAGGTCTTGAAGATGAAATATAACTGCCTGCAACATTGATTTCTTATATAGTTAAAAATAAAAATATAAGATGACTTCTTTAAATTTTGCACAAAAGTTACCAAAGGTGAGAGCATGATTTAAAAACAAACTCTGTAATCAATTATGTTTGTCTAGAAACAAACACAAAGCAACTATTGATGATGTAGAAAATTTTCTTCTAAAAATAAACCACAAAACAAATTATTTCTTTGCATGTATAAATCTAATTTAAAAAATTGCTTATGTATAGAATTCAATTTATGTTTCGTTTGCTAATAGAAAAGAGAGAAAATGATCTTTCATATACCTGTTATTCTATTCTATGATCTTTATGACTTACAGCTATAAGAAAATAACTCATTTCTTCAAATGCTTTATTAAATTGTTAGTTTTAAATGCCTATTATATACCAGAATCTGTGAAAAAAGGGAAATATAGTTTTTTGTCACATAAATTTTTCATATCCAGAAACTCTAAGCATATTAATGGAAATAAATACAGTACAACAGTTGTATTGGTACTTTTACCTGAAGTCTGCATTATTCGTCTCATGGAGAATAAGAAGAATGTACAAAATTTTTCTGCATTATTAAATAAAGTTTTGTGAAAATAATAATAATTTAAACCTATCAGATTGTTTGAAATAAGAATGTAGAGTTAACAGAGGACCTTTTTTTTTTTTCAGATAATGGATATTGTTTTGTGACTTCATCAGTGAATTGCCCCTTTTCCTTCCCCACCAAAAGTTTACCGTTCTCTTGTGAGCACCCCTAATCCCGAGTTTATCTTTAACATTTCCTTTGTGTTTCACCTCTCACTGTCACAATTATCCAAGTCAGTCTTTGTTACTTATAAGCGAAAAATTCTGGTGATTCTGGACTTGATATTTGAAATGAGTTACTTGCTTTCCTATTTCCCCTATAGACTTGTCATATTTTACTATAGAGCAGTGTTCCTTGCTTAAACACAAGAGTGACTGTTAATGCTGGGCTCTCATATTTTGGAGTTGATTGACTCTGAAATATATCTACTCCTGAGCATCCGTCATAATTACTTGACTCGGGCTTCAGTTGCCATAGTTTCTAACACCCCACAAAGGGAGGTCCCACCATGGGACTGTGATGGGCAGGGAGCAAGTGGTGAAGCTAAGCCGGCATCAAAATGAGACAGTCTAGAAAGCATAAAAGCTTGGTTTTGATGCAAGCTATTATAACTTAAGATACAGGACCCCCATGGAGAAGGACAAGTTAGACCAGCCTGAGGACCTAGTGTGGGATTTACCATAGAAGCCTTGCTTGACCTCAGAGCCCAGAGAATTAAATTTTAGAAACTTTATCTCTTACTGTGTTTATCCAAATGACTGCAAGCATTAATGAGAAATACATTTAATTGTTTAATATGTTCTAATTGTTTTAATTTAATAATTTAAAGGGAAAGAGAAAAGCAATATAGATGTCCCTGGGAGACAGAGCGTCACCTTGAGTTAATCCCTCAAAGAGAATTGCCTCTGTGGAAACTGTTTACCTCTGTAAATGATCAACCACACCTATGTACAGTCCTAGACTTGGAACCTGTTCAGATGTTCTATAAGTATGGTAGCAGCTTTGCATCTTTAACATCAATTTGTAAGTGCCCTGTCTCTTAGCACCTCTGCTAGGGAGGCCAGGGAGGCCAGGCACGTGGACTCAGTCACGAACCCACCCGTCATTCAACCTCCACCTGTGAACTCACAGTGGCAAACTTCAGGCAGATAGTATGAGGGGTGGTGGCGCACTCAAGGACCAAGGATGATACCTAACACTGTATTACACTCAGAGTGCTCTATGACGGTCCCAGTGACCCTGAGCAACTCCTTAGACACCCAAGTGCAACTACAGGGCTTGAGAAGTGCCAAGGTTCAAGCAGGTCTCTGTCCACAAACCCTTACATAGAATGGTTGATTGACTGATAAACCCTGGAAGTGTCCACTGATTTTTCTGAACATTTCTTGGAAAGCCAACGCAAAAAGAAGCAGAAGAAAACAACTTGTATATACACACAATGAAGAGATATGATTATTAAATACTTAATATCTAAAGAATTTGCCAAGTATTGCAGAAAGATTATTCTATATAACCTTAGAGTAATTTTGCATGATGTCTAGAGTTAGGCAGGGCTGGAGAAATTATATTTGTTCAGAAAATATCAAAATAATGAATGATTATGGTAGATATGATGTAGTAATCTGAGGTTTCTAAGTTATTTCCTGTTCTCCTGTTTAGTACAATTTTACAATGAGTAGGATAGATAAAAGTCAATTTGTCAATATTGTCTTCTGTTTTCAGAATTGTACAACTAAAATAACACAATTGTTTGAAATTATTTATTTCTGATCTTTGCACCCCCATCATAAAAATTTCCTTCTATATTTGCAAAGCACCTGATGCATATACATTTCTAAGATTATAATATCATTTAGCAAAGTCTCCAATGGAGACGTTACTGGGCCCGCTCGAGCAAATTGATGAATAATGGGAGGACCATGACCGATTAGTATGCAATCTCTTATTCATATTATACTCTCTCTCTTCCCCTCCCCACCCCAGGGGAGAGTGCAAATGCACTGCTCCTCTATTACAAATTATGCAGTCAAGTTTGCCACATTATGGGAAATTGCAGGAGTCAGCATATCCAAATTACAATGTTTAAGCCTCACTGTGGGAAAACCACCTTCGTGATCATGTTATCTCCCCTGCCAGGTAAGTATCCATGTTCCTCAATGGTTTCAGCTTCTTTTGGTAAGGAATTGTATTATAATTTCACTGCTTTTAAGTATCTTAAAACAATCCTCAATAGATGATAATACAAATTAAGGAAAACAAAATTTTTTGGTATTTATATTTCAAAATTTATTATGTTTTTACAGAAATATTTCTTGATGCATCAGTATTTTACAAGTGTTATAATTTATGCTTTATGAGTATAAAGTTACCACACTATATGCACTAGCAAGGTGTGCATATAATTCGATCATGTTACAAAATTATCTAACAGCCTTCCTGCCACCCTCCTTTTGTGGCTTCATGTCTGTCATTAGAGTCTAAAAATGAGTTTGTTTTTAGTGGCCTTTTGTAGTCCCTTGATTTATTCTTTACTATACAACACAGGAGTGAAAGCATCCATCTTTTGTCCTCTCTTTTTGACTTATTTTGCTTAACACACCATTGTATACTTTCATCCATGTTGTAATAAAAAGATTAGATCTTTTATTGTTGGGAAATACAACAATTTACAACTAACTTGTCCATTCACCTAATTTGGTGTTCTTGGGTTGTTTCCAGTCTTTGGCTATAGAAAAAGACATTATAGATAATATAAATGAGTTTGCTTTTTAAAATTAGTGTCTTTGTGATAGAGCCTAGTATAGGAATTGCTGAATAATATGTTTATTTTTTGAGAACTTTCCATATTGTTTTCCATGTGGTTTGAATAAAATTTAAAGCTACCACAGCTAATGAAACTTCTTTGGTGGCCAAATATCTACCAAATCTTACTGGTTCCGACCAGTTTATATTGGTTATTCTCACTGATCAGGAGTGACTACTCACTTTTGTTTTTATTGCATTTACCTGAAAATTAGCAATGATGGTCTAAAAAAAATAATTGAGGGGGTTTAGTGCCACTGATAAACCTGTACCTGTGGGGCGAGTGCATTAGCAGCCTGATATGGTGCCTTCAGACTTCCAGATACTCCAAATTTGCATCTGTGACTTCGGCCAGACCCCAACAACTTGGAGCCAAGTTTATCAAGAAATTGAATGGCCAGAAGTTAGGTATGTGTGAGACACACTCACAAACCACCTCTGGTTCAGCTATATAAGATCATTTATTGGCCTTATTTCAGAGACCCATGTATCTCGAAAGAGATCAAAAGATGCAGTTAGGGCCTCTAGCGTGGAGGTAGGCGGGAACCCTTGACTGAGATGTCCACACCCGCTTGGATCAGGACTGGGTCTCCTCCCCCCAGCTCCCCAGTTTTCCAGAAGCTTGGCGGTCACACCCACAAAACGCCACCGGTATCATGTAATCACATCAATGACCAAGACCCAGAGACTACAAAGTAAAGCTCCTGGAGGAGAATGACACAGAATTTCCTGGATATTATATTCTATCCATAATAAACAATGCAATAACAATACAAATTATCTAGCATTGCTTTTTCTGCAGGTTTGAGTGGTGGTGAGACTGGTGTTGAAATATTGCCTAATTAGAGAGAGAATGGGGGAAATTGTCTGCCACATAGGTAGGGGAAGGGTTAGAAAATGGGTGGGATGGGGGAATACTGGGGATTTTGGTGGTGGAAAATGGGCAATGGTGAATGGATAGGTGCTTGATGATTGTATTACAGAAGCTCAAACGTGAAAACTTTGTAACTATATCTCACAGTGAATCAAAAAAAGGGGGGGGTAATAAAATAATAAAATAAACATTCAGGATAAAAAGAAAGTAATGTGGAGTTGGTGCCCAATTCAATCAGTTTAATCAAAGGCTGAATAAATAGTAGTACTCCGATATTATAAAAATAATAAAATAAAATGATTGAATCACTATTAGATACACAGTTTCAAAGTTGTTCATGATTGTGTTTCTGTCTTAGACTGTTTAAATATCCTCTCTTTATCAGTGTACATTTTCCACCACCAATGTTCTTAGTTTCCATCCTGCCACCCTTCCCACAGCCCGCCACTGTGCCCCAGCCTGCCTATCTGCCTATATAGTAGGCAGCTGCTTCTTCTTCTTCTTCTTCTTCTTCTTCTTCTTCTTCTTCTTCTTCTTCTTCTTCTTCTTCTTCTTCTTCTTCTTCTTCTTCTTCTTCTTCTTCTTCTTCTTCTGTCTCTCTCTCATGAACTCTTTATTTTTTATGTAAGAGTTCTTCTATTTATTCAGCCACTGATTAACTGATTGAATTGGGCATGAACTCCACTCATAAACTCTTTTTTAAAAAAAATCTTCCTATTTATTCACTCTTCATTTAATAAAAGCCTGCTACATTTATTTCCTCCCTCTCTTACCCCCACACACCCAACACACCCACACCCACATTCACATATTTTAGTTCCATGTAATAGTATTAGGATGCTGGGATCTTTAAGACAAAATGAAACATGAATAGTTGTATGATAGTATATTGACTTTATACATATTTTGTATTACATGTGTTATTTTGAAAGTGTAGTGTTATCTGAAATTTGTTTCATAGGAATGTAATTGAGTGTAGCATTAAGTAAAGCCTTATAAATAGTTAACAAAAAATCAAAAGTTTTAGAGAGTTTAATACCTTCTTCCATTTATTTACCAGAAGGGTTAACAAATACTAATCTGAAGGTATACATATATAATCCATTGATTACTGAAATCTTATTAACAGTAGTCCAGAAGAACTGGATAGTAAATCTAGACAAAGGAGATAATTCTATAGTGGATAAAGAATTGAAGTTTTAGTAGCACTGTAACACTGTTGCACTATAGTCCTGTTGTTCATCAATTTGCTCCAGCGGTAACCAGTAATGTCTCCATTCATCCTGTCAGATGCTACTTTAGCCCAATGGCGTCTGCTCGCTCCATAAATACAAAGTGAGAATTGTTATTACTAATTTTGGTATATTGAATAAGCCACAGATAGTTGCCAGGCTCTGCCGTGTCGGTGGGATACTCTCGAGAGCTTGCAGGGCTTTCTGAGAGGGGCAGACAAATGAAATCTGGGTTGGCCGCATCTAAGGCAAACACCCTACCTGCTGTGCTATCACTCCAGCCCTGGAATTTTAGTAGTATACATAATGTTTTATATACATAGATGTTGAGTTTTAATGATGCTGTTTAAAATTCTGTAATGCTATATTGCAATGATATTAAAAATTAGAAACTTTCTAATAATGATAAATAATAAAGACAAAGTTTTAGAAGTTAAAGTACTTTAACAGAGTTGAAAAGTACCTCTTTAAAAACTACTTTAATTCCAGAGATTAATTAGCAATTTAGTAGTCAAATACTATCCCCCAAAATTAATGTGTTAATATAATCAGGTAGCGTGTGAAGAGCCGAACTAGAGTACTGATGAGTACTGACAGTAGGTTCTTTAGGTGTTCAGGTCTGATCTTGTCTGGGCCAGGTGCTCTTCATTTCTTTACCGACGAGATGGCGTATCAGATATTGGAAGGGAGAAAAATGGGAATGACACATCCATCCTGTGAAATTTGGTATGTGGGTAGGTGGATGTGGCTATCAAAGAGATCCGAGTAGAAATCATGAATAATCCTCTCCATTGCACTTCTGGAAGATGTGATAGATCCATCAAGACGTCAGAGGGCAGTCATCTTGGTCTTGTAGTTGGTGAAGAACAGGCGGGTGTTACAAATGCTTTTCCCAGCTTCTGCTGCATCTATCAGCACTGCTGCTCTTCTCTCTTTCAGGTCTTCCTTGATTGCTTCTCTGCACTGCTTTGTTAACTCGGACATTTGCTTGCAGTTGCCTGAGGCATGCGCCAAGCCACACTGGCGAATAAGCTCAAGAGTTTTCGAAGACAGGCATTTTTTGTGGTTATCTCTCTCTTGGCGTTCCTCGCACAATCATGGTGGTGCTGAACTAGTCGATTGCATTCCTCATCAGATAGATGTATTCCTATCTGAATGCAAGGTTCCATCCCAATGGAAACCAGCAGGACTGTACTACTGTACAAGAATGGAGACATCTATGACATTGGCAACTATAGCCCGATCTGCGTATTGTCTGTCATCTACAAGCAGTTCACTAGAGTCATCCTGAATAGGAATGGCAGAACACTAGATAGAGAACAACCATGCAAGCAAGCTGGGTTCTGCAAAGGACTCAGCATGATCGACCATATCCACACAATAACCAAGCTCATTGAGGTTTCTCAGAAGTTCAAGATGCCGCTCTGTCTAACGTTTATTGATTTAAAAAAGGCCTTTGATTCTGTTGAGAAGGAAGCAGTCATCGAAGCCCTAGCCAATCAGGGCACTCAAACTCAGTACATCAGGATCCTCCATGAGCTGTATTATGGATTCAATACCAGGATCTCACCATTCTACAAAGAAGTGATCATTGATGTCAAGAGAGGGGTTCGACAGGATGACACCATTTCACCGAAACTCTTCAGTGCCACCCTCGAGAACATCATGCAACGACTGTAATGAGAAGGAATGGGAGTGAAGATAGATGGCCGGCAACTACACCACCTCCGCTTTGCTGATGACATTGATCTAATAACACGAAACATCATCCAAGGGGCACAAATGCTGATCATGAATGTGGAAATATCAGATTACAGCTGAATCTCACAAAGGCAATGTTCATGAGTAACAGTCTTGTTCCTAATGTTCCATTCACTTTCAACAGAACGACCATCTCCAAATGCAACAGTTATGTGTGTCTAGTTTGAGAAGCCAACATGACGAATAACCTGGCACCTCAGTTGCGCAGGAGAAAGAGAATGACTTGGAAGCCTTCAAGAGCGTCAAAGAAATAGCTAAAAGGATGAAGAACCTCCAGCTCTGGGCACATCTATTTGATTCCTCTCTTCGTCCTGCATTAATATACTCCTCAGAGACCTGGGCCCTACGAAAACTGGATGACAACACTATTCAGGTCTCTCAAAGAGGAATCAAAAAAACTATGCTTGGAGTATCATGCTTCACTCAAGTGAGAGAAAGAATTCAGAGTTCTTATCTCTACCAACACTCAAGAATC